GAAACCCGCATAATATAATTTTCAATTCACATTACGTGTTTATTCTTTGGTTTATCCGTTACTCAGAAGTCAGTTTTTATATGTGTGGTCTCACATGTAGCTGTGAAAATATGTAAATGTTGTGTGGTCGTTGGTACTCAAGTCAATTATTTTGTCGTTTTTGGTACTCAAGTCAATTATTTAGTCGTTGTTGATACCCAAGTTCATTATTTTGTCGTCTTTAGTACAAGTAATGTTTTGTCGTTGGCTGGTGTTCTAAATTTTAATCCTGGTATCTTTGATGAGATTGAAATGTTCTCAATTAAATTTATATGTTCTTATTATAGATAAAACTTTATATACACAGAATGTAGGACAGAAAGTCACAGGACAATACAGTGATTATCTAGTTTTGAGATTATTTTTCTTTAATAAGAAAACACTTATTTAAAAAAAAAAAATTGTATTTTGCTTGAACTAGTATATGTAAAGCAACTTTGTAATTAAAATTTATTCAATAAATATAAATAATGATCAAATAAGAAAACTAAAATGTCAAAGTGGCTTAAACGACTTCTTTGTGCCAATAAATATGTCCTTTACATAATCGAAATTTAATATATTTTCATCTTTCAAGGCCAATGAAGAATTTACTAAACTGTAAAATGAATATATGTATTAAAAGTATTTATTTAAGATCTTTCTAATACATATTCAAACAATTGTCAACAAACTTTTTGTCCTATTAAATTTGTGATTTTCTGTCCTGTGACTGTTTATTCTGTGACTTTCTGTCTATTTATCTTATAAAATCATGCTCGTTATTTGACTTTCTATCGCGACAAGTCCAATGTTGAACTACAATAAAATCACCATCCTTTTTTTTGGCATAAGCCCCATTGGTGAAATTCGAAGGGACCAGCAATCCAACCAAGCTGACTTCCATCGGAATGTATTTCCTTTTGAGTAGCTGTATTGTAATTGTTTTTTTTTTAAATTGGAACATTCCCTTGGTACTCGAGTCAAAATATTTAAAGACTAGCCAAATTTTAAACCCGTTAAATTTCATGAGCTGCATTTTTATTTGGTTAAGGTTCATCATAACCAAGTGGTAGGAAGGGGCAACAGCAACACCTTTTTTTCCAGTTTATTAAAAAGATAATAACTTCATGTTAAAGGCCAGGGCTGACCTAGATAGAAATCCGGTTGGAGAGCAATTAAGCCAATAAGGAAATGGGAGGGGCCTAACTATCTTTTCAATTATTTATAGAAGTCAGCATGGTAAACAGAAAACAAACACATGTGGAATTTACCTTTGTGTAGATATTTATAATCCAGTATAAGATAAATAACTAAGAAATAACAAGATTATGTTGATCAGAAATATAAGCATGTTGATAATAATTAACACTTGTAAATTTAATGCATTGGTGTAATTATTCTGTTTTTAAAAGAAACTAGAAATGTAGTGGTTCCAAATGTTTATCCTGTAATTATATGTTAGTTTTTTGTAAATTTTCTTTCCTTTTTGTGAAGCTGGTGCATTAAGATTCCTTGATTTCCACACTGATGTATAGCCTCTGTCCACATTCTCATTCCAATGGCATACTGCCAAATTTGATCTTAATTTATATTGATCATCACCAAAGCAAATTCTTTTGTCTTGAAATATGTTTACAACATTGTTAAAACTTTCAACATAAAGTGTGTCTTTAGCAAGAATGTAATCTTAAGGATATTTATAAATAGTTGAACTTTTTATAGCAGACTCTAACATTTTTCTGACTTTTCCATTTGTAATTACAATCCTAGATGGCTCATAGTTTGAATCAACTTTGCACCTTGATGAATGATGACAATTTACATGGTTATTACAATAATGTTCAACAATGTTATCCAAACTTTCCTTAAGTTTTAGAGAATTTTGCTCACAGTTACGGACGGCCCAGTTAATGTGTGTTGCTATGGGTTCAACTTTCTCTCCCAGCTGTACACTCCAACTTATACCCTCTGAACGTTTAGTACCTTTTGAAATCTTGGTGACAGCTTTTTTTACAGCCTTGACAGCATGCCATAAGTCATTCTGATTGACAGTAAATTGAGTGTCCCTCACAATTTTTTTTACAGCCAAATTTACATCATGTGCATGAATTTGAATGGACACATTTTTATTCTCCAAATGTTCATAAATTATTTGTGTTCCCAGTCTCATGTCGTTGGGCAACTTTATCCTGTGACTTTGTAACATGTTCACAGTCCATCACTTTGTGAGTTTTTACTCCTAACGCTACAACTGTAGTATCTTTCGCATTTTTCCTCCAACCATGTCTAGCATCTGTCATGATGTTGATGCCATCTAGGTCATCATATGAAGAAATTTCATCATTTATGGCATTGTCAACTGATTGAACACTTTCATTTTCAGCATGCTCTTTATATTTTCTAAAGAACTTTGATCTTCTCTCATTAGTGATGCAGCCAATTCCTGCCCCATTTACAAATCTAGTGTAATGTACTGGCAAAAGTCCACTACTATAAAATGCATGACAAATCCTGTGATTGACCAAGAACTCATCATTTAGTAGTTACGATGATGACGACCATAAATAGGAATGTGATTTTTCCTTGGTACACATCAGTCTTACAGATGCTACATGTCCTTTCATAATTCTTTTCAATACTTTTAGCTTTCCATTACAAATACTGGTATGTGCTTCAAAAAGTTCTCCATATGTATCCAAAGATTTTTCTGCAGTAACGAACAGTCCTTGGTCTACATCCTGGCGTCTTGTTTGGGAATAGGTGGATGGGAAAGGATAAAGTTCTTTCGAATTGTCACTTCCAAGTTGTTGTTTAATCCAAAAGTCTAAAAGTTCCTCTATAATTAAACTATTGTTAACTGGCTTATTCAAAGTTGAAGTCAAATAATTCTATACTCTTTGAAGTTTTCCAAAATTCTACTTTTGACAGTCTCATCACCAGGAATTTCTATTCTAAAATTGGGAGGACGTTTTCGTGCAGAATCTTGTTTTTCAGTAGCCATGATCATGAAAGAAATTGAAGGAATGAGCAGAAATGGGATATGAAATAATCAGGAGATTGTGTTTCATGATATTCAGTTACAGCTAGTGCCAACTTAGAAAAATGTATCTAAAGGGTTCATGATCATTGATTTTTATACAAATAAAAGTGATCAATGCAAATTTCTTTGATCATTACATGTTTTTTTCAATAAATTAATTTTGGAATTTTTTTTAATTTTTTTTTTTTTGTGATTTGTTGTCAAAAAATAGTATTTCATTTCTTGCTAAATGAATAACTACATGTAATCCCCTAATTGCCTCTGGACTTGACATGCAATCCCCTAATTGCCTCTGGTCTTGTTTACATCTAATGTACAAATTTTATGAGGTCACCTGCAGAGTCAGCAACTTTCTGTACACATAACCTTGTGATAAAATCCAGACCAGATTATCTTTGAAGTCATATAAATATTTTGTTTGTGTGCATTCTACATTATCCTAAAAATGAGTGATAAGAAAGTTACTATGGAATTAAGCGATCTTCAATTAGAAACTATAAAAAATTTGTGTGTGCATAATGATTGGGAAATTAAAATTTTTGATGACTCTGCTGTTACTAATGAAAAAGGCGGGAATGCACAAAATCCACAGATGACAACAGAACAGAGTACTCAAACAGACAATAATGAAGAAGATGGAGACGATGATCAGCCTGGATTTGTCATACACCAAGACCCGTCCCAAGAAGAATACAGATATTGCTTTTGTAAGCCATGCATTACGGATAAACAAAACAGACAAATGTGGTGGCATATGGTCAGTCAGAAGTACCCCATCAAAGAAACTCAAGTTTGAGAAAGGAACACTACAAAAGATTTTGGACTATGCTTCTCCATCGTGGTGCGTGGAATGATGATAGATATATGGTTATGAAAGCAGATGCCATGACCAGGGACCACAGAACCCAAAGATTTGACTGGCACAAGAGAGATATTATGCCAAAATGTGTTGTGACACTTGTGCGTGTTGGTTTCCCAATCCTGGTGGGTTTCCGTACATGGGACACATGTGGGAATAATATTCTTTATTCTCCTGCAGGATTTTTATTAATTCAATTGAAAGTCCTTTGTTTTTTATATAACACAATTTTGGAGGGAAAATGATTGTGACCGGATAACATTGAGTATTATGACTGTAGTTTTTTTTTTGCAAATTAGCTGCATATTTATTTGGTTCTTTGAATTATGAAAGAAATATAGAATGGATATAAGGATTACGTAGGAATGGAATAATTTTTAACACAACAGGTAAGGTGTTTGTTGATATTTTGCATGGAAGCATGGCTGCATGGCAACATTTACTTCCTGTGTAAACAAAAACAATGTTTATATCCGCCCAGCTGTCAATCAAAGTATACTTCAAATGAAAAGTACCTCTGCTTCATGATTTGTTTTAGGAATATAACGAAATAAAATTAGTTAATAATTTTTATTTATCCTGCAACATATTATATAGTTCAGTTCTAGGTTCTGTGACAATTTTTTTTCTAAAAATCACTCGTTGAACAAGGTAATACTAAAAAATATGTCCCTAAAATGAATGTGGCTAAGAAATTTGAATTTACCACTATTTCATTCATTGGCTGCTATTTATACTCTTTCCCTGGCCTTTAAATTCTCAGAACAGTTGAGTTTTCAACTCTAGCATTATAATATTAATTTAAATATCTGGGTTTTGCTCTCCTGAAAATCCTATTTTAAAAAAAAATTTATACTGTGCAAAAACTTGTACCACCACCAAAAATTACTTAAATATCACATTTAAACAATTTTTTTTTCACTTTCTACAAATAATAATGATTTTGTGTATACAAATATGCATAAATTATTTCCTAGTATATTTTTTAAAATTGTTATAATAAAATTTGAGAAAGGAAACGGGGAATGTGTCAAAGAGACAACAACTCGATCAATGAGTTTTGGTATAAAGCAGTTTAGTTCACGTCTTGCATCTAGAGGTGTATCTTTCTGGTTTATACCCATCTACACATTCCACTAAATCCTCTTGAGTGCATTCAAAATCAAAGAAATATAAAGTGGGTTTTTGTATGTCATTTTATTAAGGTGACTGGATTGTCCACATCATCATTTAGAGGGTTTTCTATAACTTTGCCACCTTCCAACGGCAACATGAAACAGAGATGCCCAACCTCAAAGAAATCTTTTCAAGTCAACAGATTTCACCACATTATGTTCTTTCTTATGCATTTTCTGTTTGAGAAGTTCTTTTGTTTATATCTTTGAGTATGGCAGAAAACACATCTTCCAATATCCATGAATTTTGAATCTGCTTTATGAAATCCCAGAATCCAAAAACATCATTTACTCCACTGCAAAACTGTGCAATTTCAGCAGATGTTCTGTAAAAAAGTAAAGACAACTTGATATATGCATAAGCATGTTTATGTTATCATGATAATATGGTAATAGCTGATTGTTGAAAATGGAGAGTAAAATGTATTTACAAAAACAAAGCGAAATAATGATAATACAAATGTGTATATCTTTGCACATGTAAACTACATTTACTTGTAATTTCTGTATTGGGTTTCTTAAAACAATTATTTACGCATCGTTCCCTGAAAATGTTTAAAATTTATAAACTAACATGTTTAAATGTTCAAAGAAAATTAACTACTAACAAAACTGACTTGTAACACATCTTAACCACAAGCAAAATTATAATTTTCTACCTTGACCCATGCAATTTTCTGTCATGTATTAATATTTGAAGTAAGTTTTAACATCGTAATACGTATTCCTCCAATTCTGGTGATTTTGGCTCATACGAGATCGCGGCTCTTGATTTAGCCTATTATTATATCTGGTAGAGCCTTTGTCTGCAAAAATCTGATTTGTATAGTTGATTGCATAGAATGGCTTTTTATGGCTTCTCGAGTTCCTGGTTTGATTTTGTCGTTGTTGATACGACTCCCCTGTAGGTCTTTGCGGATGCCCATACTGATGTTGCCCTGGTGATGTTACATTGACCAAAAGATATATTACAGACTTGAAGTTCCTAATATATTTTTTTCACCAACATCATTTTAGTGAATTTCGTCATAGTAGTCCCTTTGATGCATGTCTTCAAAATATATCAGTTTCAAGTCTGTACCATGACATAGGTCGTTTAACAGAAGAAGGATTGGAGTCTCGTGGACTTTTGCATAGACTGTCGCTTGAAGTATTATTTATTCCAATGAATAATTGACACAATAAAAAAATCTGAAATATTATCAATGCTGTATTGTTAAACTTATATCGACACAACTAACGTCTGTTGTTTCTTTGATTAGAGTAACGGATAGATATTCATATCTGTAATGCGATACATTGTAAGCATACAGTTTATACATTCTGCCACCTTTGACAAGACGAGAGTGAGGAGCCTGTAATCAGTGGTTGTTGTTGCTGTGTATCATTTTCTCTTTTTTCCCCATTATTTTGTACTTAAAATTAGATTGTTAGTTTTCTTGTCGTTTAGGGGGCTTTTATAGCTGACTTTGAGGTATGAGTTTGCTCGTTGTTGAAGGTCATTCGGTGACCTATAGTTTTTTATATCTTTGTCAGTTGGTTTGTTGTGTAGAATTTTGTCATTTGAAATCATCTCACATTTCTGATTTTTAGATTATGAATAACGTGAATATTTATTGTAAATGAGTTTAATACTTACTGTACTGTCTGCATTTATTAAACTCTTTATAGCTGCCGCTGCATCAATAATTGCAGCACTTTGTAGTGCACTAACCCCCAAGGGTGACTGGGAAATAGAAGTATGGTCACCATTGGTCATCCTCCGACCGGCAGTAAAACCCGTGCTAAAGAGGGGCGTCCGTTTGGCTGTGCGGGATGTACAAATTTGCAGCAACGTCCGATCAGAATGGGGACGTTAAATCCGATGCCTCGTGTAAAGAGAGTGCCACGGTCTCTGCACGTAAAGAACCCTTGCAACAACTTATGAGGGGTCCGTAGGTGACCTGTTGCAAGGCCAAATTTCTGTCCCTATCCAATGTACCCTCATTTCCCGTGGCAGTCTAAATTTCTCCGACCTTAATCCCTTAATCTATTACAGAACCTACCTATTGTATTTATTGTGAACTTGTTCTCGTCCTGAATATGCATGAAATATTTGCCACTGGACGTTAAGCAACCAACAATCAATCAATCAATTGTAGTGCACTACCGATTATCTTAAAAGAGAAATTGTTTAAAATTAATAATGACATTTACAAGAATAAATCATCACTTTTACCTGCAGATTGTACCTAAAACCAAAAAACTATTTGCATTTTTGAAAAATTTAAAACTTAAAAAGTTGTTCATTTCATTGTAAAATTAGTCTGTTTTGCCTGATGTTTCTTTTGCGTGTTCTTTCCGTGTTGGTCACCTTGTGTGGACTTGCAATTGTTTCATCATTACTGAATTCTCACACATGCTCTTGGGTTTCCTATTTTATATTCAGATATCCGAAAAAATAATGAGGTACAATATATTCAAGTTTATTTTATGCAACAGTAGCTTCAATGAATAATGTTAAAGTCAAGTAATCAGACAACAAGAGGCCATCACCACATTGGGTTTTATTTACGTCGGTGTTAAAGGTATAAAATCACTAATTCAATGCTAATTGCTCTCTATGTTATTTTCTACAATTTAGTGCATTCATTGCTATTTCATCACAGGATTACCACCTCTTGTTAATGCATCATGGATATACTGTGGGATTTGCAGCCGTGTACAAACACCTTCATTACATATGGATTAAATGGATTGTTATCCTCAAATTCATATTTTAATGGAATATCAACATGTGGGCTCAAACGAAATACATGATAGCCTCTTACACTCCAATCGAATTGTTTACGTTTAACATCTACATTTTCTGTAATTATTATTCTGTATTCAGAAACGAATGTCATGATCATGAACATACACAATATAACAAGTTGTTAATATGTTATAGGCTACCAAATAAAATTGAGAATGAAATGGGGAATGTGTCAAAGAGACAACAACCCGACCCAAAATCAGAAAAACAGCAGAAGGCAATCAATGTGTCTTCCACACAACATAATAGCACGTAAGGTTTCAAAACACAAATAAGATGAATATAGGTAACGTTGAAGTCAGCAGTTCTGTGTTGACATGAATTATCACTGATATGGTCAAAATTATAAATTAACTGTTTACAAAACTTTAAATTTTTGAAATACTTAGGCTCCTCTTCCTCAGGAATATATTACCTTAGCTGTATTTGGGCAAAACTTCTAGGAATTTTTGGTCCTCAATGCTCTTCAACTTCGTACTTTATTTGGCCTTTTTAATATTGTTTGATTCGAGCGTCACTGATGAGTCTTTTGTAGACGAAACGCGTGTCTGGCGTAAATATAAAATTTAAATCCTGGTACCTAGGATGAGTTTATCCACCCTCTCTGCACGTTCGGAACCCCTGCAACAACTCTTTAAGGGGTCATTAGATGCCCTGTTGCATGGTCATCTATTACTGTAAATTCAGAAATTATTGCGTGCATTTATTATTGCGATTTATGAAGAATGGACAATAATGCGAGATTAATTATTGCGATTCCAGGAAATTCTGCATACAGATGCATATATCAGATATCAGAATGCGAGTTCTAATTATTGCTATACTAACCCAGTCGCACCATTCGCATTAATAAAAACCTCGCAATAATTTCTGAATTTACAGTAATTTGATGTATCGTGATGTTACTCTAGAATTGAAGTGAATGTCATCATGAACATTGAAACGTTTGTTTTGGTTGAAGTTGTCATTCATATACATTTCATATTGTCAAATAAATCACACCATCTTTCTAGAACTATATTTGCTCTGTACACATCTACATCAATTCAGGGAGGGACATCTTGGACCATAATTTTTCATTTCAGAGTTTCTACAAGCACGACCTGCTAGGTGCAACTTTCATATTCTACTTCAAAACCATTCAAAGATTTTCCAACACTTACAGTCTGGGGTCTCACTGGCAGAAGTAAATATTATTTACCTGATTGTGTAAACTTCCTGTAACTTCAACAGGTAAAATTCTTTTACCTATGCAAATATGCTGAATTTACCTAAATAGGTAAAAAAAGAACTCTGGACATCTCCCTTTGACAAATGATCTTTTTTTTTATTTGATCAACTTAATACAGATATGTTCCTAGTCCACTAGATTTTTTGATTACCTCCCTTATTTTTGTATTTTTGTTATTTTTTTAAGTAAATACTATAATTAATTTAAATTCAAAAGACAACTTTCAATGACTTTCACAAATTCTATATCGAATATTCGGAGGTACATTGTTACTGTTGAATCAAGGAAAAGGAATAATACAGTGTAAAAATATGTTTTATTAATCAACATAAAACTAAACAACTGACAGCTAAAGAAGTATGTGTTTTTGAACAAAAATCATTCATAAAATATAGAAACAAGTGTGGACACATACTTATACATGCATCTTATTAAATGTTCAAATAACAAAAGAAGTTTTTAATCATTCGTTAAACCACTTTCATGACTAGAAAAAGCTATCAGTAGTTAAATTAAATTTTCAACTAAAGGTTGTTCTACATGTAAAACAGATACATAGACTGGTACATACAGTTCCATTATCTTAAGTCAATGGAATAATTTAACACAAGAAAATAACAGGTATACTGTTATTGTGTGAATTCTAATGAGGTTATCTCATTTCACGAGTTATGTTGAAATAACACATGTAGGTTATTTGTACAAAGAAACAATGGCTGTAATAATGCTATTCAGTTACAGAAATTTCGGTCAGTCAAATCAAGTCATATAAAACAAATAACGCTGTTAGTTCTGTTGTTTACATCTAAAATAAAATTGAGAATAGAAAATGGGGAATGCGTCAATGATTTCAACATTTGTGTCATTTCTGGTGAAACATTGTGGACAAACAATACCTCATAATTAACTAAGTGTGGTAAAAATACTTGCTTAACACAAAGATAAAATAGGAAATACATAAGTACAGAAAATAAAAACATTGTAGAAATAAAATACAACCTCTATCAGCCATGAATACTATTTACATACATGTACAATGTGAATAACAAAATTTCATATTTCTGAGATTGCTAAAAAATCAGAACGGTGATTGCCATCCATAAATAAAAACAGAAGAAAATGGAATCATGACATTCAAATAATATTAGGATTAATTATCTAAGAGTTAAATAATTCTTCCAGTTTTTAATATTCAATTTCCAACTAATATCAAAATATGTTTTTTAAATCAATCACAAAATTTTGGATTCAGGTAAAGTTCTATCTCTGATAAAAAAAAAGAAAAACAAACCAAATTGGTACACAATGAGCGCATGAAACACCGATCTATTTCAGACAATGCAGAAATTTACACCACCACATCAATCAACTTTGAAATGCAATGTATGAGATATTCTCAAGTGACCGTGCAAAAACAACGACTATTCAGTTTTCTTTTAGGAGCAAAGAATTGAAGTAGAAGCTGTGTAAACTTAAAAGCAATTTACAGAAGAGGTTTCCAAGATACAGCCCCCTTTTTGTAGGGGAAGTAACAATGAAAATAAGGCTTAACAATCAGATAAATTAGTTCAAATCCACTTTGAGCTGTCACATTCCTTTTTAAAGAGATTATTCCACTAGAATTTTGAAAACATCCCTGAGATTTTTTCTGAAAAAAATCACAAAATAGTGACAACAATAGTTCACTTGGCCAATAGAGCCAAGAAAGCTCAATGGAGAAAAAGCACCACACGGGACTTACAAACATATATAAAACTTATCAAAACAATAAAGTGCTTGTAAAATGATTGCTTTCAAAACAGTGAACATTGATAAATTCAGTTACAATGAACATGATAAAAAAAAGTATCACATACCTAAATACAAAAGTAACAATATTTAAAAAAGGCCCTACATGTATATGGTATATTTCAACATTTTTCATCAGTTATACACATTAAAATGGGATGTGCATGCTCAAATAGATCATAAAAAGTATTGGACGGTTCATTCACGACATATTCATATGGGTAAAGGATTATTCTGGATAATATCAATAAGCTGAAATAAAAAATGTAAACAAATTTTGTCACGTAGCATCAAGCTTTAAAACTGACTTAACATGTTACAAGAATAACAAAGTATAAAATGTTTGTAATAATGTTCAAAAATAACGCCTAGGCAAAAAACATATATACAATTATGTTACACTATTCATTTTGCTAATAAAACATCCATATAGTTATCTTTAAAAAAACAGAGGCTCTCAAGAGCCTGAATTGCTCACCTGTAATTCTTTGTTTAAATCTGTTATCAATGATTATTTAGCTTTTCGATGTATATATAAATGTGTGCTTAAAATTAAATATTCTTTGTATCTCTAATTTACTGTCTTCAAAGGCAAAAAAAAATGCATTTTACCCATAAGTTCTTATTGAGCCATAGTGGCTATATTTCTTGACGTAAAAGAAAATAAAACACAAACTTTATACTAGACCCCGATGTTCTATTTTTAGTCAAGGCAGCCATGTTTTTTTTATGAAACCGAAAATAAAACACAAAATTTATTCTAGATACCCTAACGATCATTCAGCGTAAGTTTGATTAGAATTGGTTCAGTAGTTTCAGAGAAGGTCTTTGAAATAGATTACACCGGACGGACGACGATGACGGACGCCAAGTAATGGCAAAAGCTCACATTTCCTAAATGTGAGCTAAAACAGGGGGGAAGTGTATACATGATATATAATATTTAAGTACCAATAAGCCAGTTAATGTCATAGTAAGGATTAATATCAGGTGTCTGGTAAATAGCCACTAAACTTGACTATTATATACATTCTGACATGACATTTCACATACATGTGTCTTGAAAAAACATCTCAATTGAACGCCTCTTCTTAATTTGTTTCGGATGTTGCAATTTCTTTATAATGCTTTTTCCTTCTATAATACTTTGATCTGGCATTTTTGGCCATATAAACATTTCATTTTGATTCTTTTTCATAAAAGGAACATCCACATCTTCTCCCCCCCCCCTCCAAGGGTGACTGGGGAATAGAAGTATGGTCACCATTGGTCTTCCTCCATCCGGCAGTAAAACCCGTGCTAAAGTGGGGCGTCCGTTTGGCTGTGCGGGATAGGTGTGTCTGGATAAGAAACACCGACGGCCGGAGGGGTTTCTTATCCAGACACGCCGTATCCCGAGGTGTATAACTAACTTACACCCAATGCTAAACCCTATATTTGTTAACATTTATTATTAAATGAAAAAGACTATGATGGATAGCATATTTATTGACAAAATTGAACCATGAATTATAAGAATTCTTTTTTTTCATGAAACCCCACTAGTAACCTTACTTTGGCTATGTTCTTTCAAACTTTGACAAGTGAGTAGATTTTACAAATGTCAAAGTTGCTGTTTTGCATATTCCCGTTAAATCCTGGTACTAATATGGATCAGAAGTTCAAGGTTGACCGTTTCGTGCATTCTTATCACAAAAAAAATACATCATGCTCCTTGTATGCAGTTGTCAATATGGACGGGTATAAGACGGACGACATTTTGAGTCAAGCGTTGGATTTGGTAGAAGAGACTAATAAAAGATAAAGGCAATATTATAACCCAAAGTACACGTTTACCTGTATCAGTTTAATGAAGGTAATCATAAATGTATTTTTTATGTTACGGTTTTATAAAAAAAATTAAGCCCCCCCCCCCTTTTCGAGAATAAACAAACATTCATATTGGGAAACACTGAGGGATAGGTGTGTCTGGATTAGAAAAATTGAAATCAGAACAAATATGATGAAATTGTCTAAGAGACAATGTAAAAAAAAACAATAAAAAAAAGGGAATATTATAGAACACTGATATCATGGTCAGTAATTAATAATATAACAATTATAGCCTTTGTATTCGGTCAATACAGGACATATCGACCCAAAGAAGTATATCGACCTCAGACTTCGTCCTCAGTCAATATACTTTTTCAGGTCAATATATCCTTGTATCAACCTCATACAAAGGCTATAATTGTATAGTGTTTCCCACAACTAATTTCGTCCCCTAAAGACACCTGATAAAGTGAGTTATAATTTCTGTCAATGCTGAAAGAACAGTAAAGAAGTTGAAACATTTTCTTTCTGTGCATACTAACTGCTTTATATAAATGTGGTTTATGAATATAATCTTCCAGCAGTTCCCTTTTATTAATGTGTGAATATTTTGTAAATACAATTAAATTGCAACATGAAAGACAGTAGCAAAGTTTACCTTTACTTAAAATTTCCTCTGGTTGTTCTGGTTGTACATCTGGTTTTACTTCAGGTTGTTTCTCTGGTTGTTCCTCCAGTTGTTCTGGTTGTACCTCTGGTTGATTCTCTGGTTGTACCTCTGGTAGTTCCTCTGGTTGTACCTCTGGTTGAACCTTAAAATGTTCTGATGTTTCCTCTGATTGTTTTTGTGTATTTTCTGGTTGTTCCTCTTGGTTTTTAGATGCTTCAGTTGGCTCCTTTAAATTACAGTATTTAATCATTATTGTTTATCTGATTCAATAAATTTTGTTTCTTAAGTACTGTAAATTCAGAAATTATTGCGATGTTTTTATTATTGCGAAAAATGCGACAGGGTAATAATCGCAATAATTTAAACTCGCATTTTGAAATTTTTATATGAATTGAACAGGATTTTTCTCTATATCGCAAAAATTAAAATCGCTTTTTAGTCTAAAATGACAAAGTCGTAATAATAAATGCACGCAATAATTTCTGAATTTACAGTAAAATATTACGAAACAAGAGGCGCTACAGAGCTTGAATCTCTTATCTTGTTTGATCAAGCTACACCAAACGTTGATTGTTATTAGGTGTTGACAAGATATATGACTGATATAGTCATATTTATAAATTTACAGTTTTAAACTTGATTTAGCTTTTTAACTTTCCATTAGAGCATCACTGATGATTCTAATGTAGGAGAAACATGTGTCTGACGTGCACAAATATTTTTAGCCTAATATCTTTGCTTAGTTTTACACCATACATCATTCCTGTCAAATTTGGTTAAAATCAGTCAAGTGATGTCCATGTCGTTGAGTTAAATGTTGAGAGTGTAAGGATAGATATAGACATTGTCTTAAATTTGCTCTTTTGTATTTGATGCATTATTTTATAACAGTATCATGATTATGGCAACTAAATAAGAATAGTTATTACATGTGACTGTAACAAGAAACGCATGATCAAAATTAGGATAATTAAGATGTATGTACTGAATTTATCTGTTGGATCAACATAAAAATCCATGTTTTCCATCAGGACAGAGGCCTCTCTGTAATAAAGTAATTAACTTTGTCAAATGTAAAAAGAAATAATCGAAATTTCTTTAAACAAATTGAGAAAAAGAAAATCATATCAAATGATATTCATCCAAAAATTTGAAAGATTAAATTATAAGAAATAATTTACATACATGCATAGTTGATGGATTGATGGATGGTTGTTTAACGTCCATTGGCATATTCAGGACGAGAACATGATAATGATAAATGAATATTAACCCTGCTTTGTACTAGACTGTCATGCTGAGCCGGATTTTTAACGTGCTAGCTCACAAGGTAACAGTTCGCAGGAAGACATGTCAACTTACCCAGACACGTTATTCTGACTCTGGGCCGACAAGTTTTTGCTCTAACTCCTCAATGACATGTGCTTGGCGGAGAAGCAGCAAATATCAATTTTCAAGTCTTTGATTTGACCCGGACGAGGGTCGAACCCACGACCTACTGCACTCGAGGCGAGCACGCCATGCATAGTTGATACAGAGTTGGACATTTTCAAGCAGTATCTTTATAATGATAGTCAGAAGTCCCTTTAAAGTATATATCAAAGAGAAATATCCTGTCATGCATACCTTAGTAAAGAACTATTTAACACAACATCTTCCAAAACAATGACAGGACTCATTTCCCGGCTGTCTGGAACTATCATTTCACTACAATAAGAATTTTATCATCATTTATCATTTTTCAGCAAAAAGTTCAGATTTTGATAAATAAACCAGAAAAACCCTAAGAGAAATCAAACTTATTATACAATACAAATAATGTTAAATACACAGTGATAAGGTATCCCCTAAGATTGATTGATTGATTGTTGGTTGCTTAACGTCCAGTGGCAAATATTTCATGCATATTCAGGACGAGAACAAGTTAACAATAAAAACAATAGGTAGGTTCTGTAATAGGGGCTTCCGGGATTAAGGTCGGAGAAATTTAGACTGCCACGGGAAATGAGGGTATATTGGATAGGGACCGAAGTTTGGCCTTGTAACAGGTCACCTACGGACCCCTCAAAGAGTTGTTGGAAGGGTTCTTAAAGTGCAAAGAGCGTGGCACTCTCTTTACACGATTGATTGATTGATGGTTGCTTAACGTCCAGTGGCAAATATTTCATGCATATTCAGGACGAGAACAAGTTAACAATAAATACAATAGGTAGGTTCTTTAATAGGGGCGTCAGGGATTAAGGTCGGAGAAATTTAGACTGCCACGGGAAATGAGGGTATATTGGATAGGGACAGAAATTTAGCCTTGCAACAGGTCACCTACGAACCCCTCAAAGAGTTGTTGCAAGGGTTCTTAACGTGCAAAGAGCGTGGCACTCCCTTTACACTAGGCATCGGATTTAACGTCCCCATTCTGACCGGACGTGGCTGCAAATTTGTACATCCCGCACAGCCAAATGGACGCCCCACTTTAGCGAGAGTTTTACCGCCGGTCGGAGGAAGACCAATAGTGACCATACTTCTATTCCCCAGTCACCCTTGGGTGGGTGGGGGGGGTATGTGACTATGTGACCACCCAATAACATGGAAATGCGATGGGGTTTGTTGCGATGAATGTGACATATGGCACCATAAATCATGTATCGATCTATGTACAGTTGACTACGAACTTCTCCAAAGATCAAACATATAATGGCTCTGTTGCATATGCGAGAGTATTAACGTGTCATCTTTTACATTTCACAGCTACGAACTGAACACATTAAAATACTACGAACCGAATAAATCAGATGTGAATTAACCTCTGTTGATGAAAACTACCAACAACAACTGATATTGTCATAGAATCGGCAATACCCTTGCATTTAACACTTAATTCATCAACTACGCTTAGTATTATCAGGATGGTACAAGTTGGTGAGTGCTACTTGAATTTTTAGGATATTAACTGTTGGTGTTGTTCAATGAAAGTCAGTTGAGTAACCATTAAATGAGTTTAGAACTTCTGGTTTTATTGTACACCCTTTAAGTGAGTCTAATAGTGGCTTCTTGTGATCATCAGTTGCCTGTGTAAACTTCCTGGTACGATGCCTTTTTCGAGACTTGGCTTTTGAAATAATACTTGCTTTAAAGAACTGTAGGAGGAATTATACCTACTAAGATGTACTTGTGAAAAGAATAGACTTATCGAAGAAACATTTTGGTCTGTGTCTGAATTAGACCAAGAGGAGCTGAAAGAGACCCCACGTTTTGACTGTGGATTTTATTAACACATTAATTATATACGTAGACGATCATGAAATGATGAGCTTAGACAAAGACTTAAGATTACCATGGCCTGGCAATGGCATGTCGTGTGACGTTAAAGATTGTTTGGATTACGTATACACTTCTTACAGCAGTTATATTAAACATTGGAAAAATTATCACAGGACAGAAGATGCGATTTTACAATGTACAATTTGTACAAAAGTGGTTAACAATAATTGTAAATTACTTAAGCATTTGAAAAAAAGTCACATATGTTAAATGATAAGTTAGCTAAAAATGCATTACCTGAGGCTATTAGACAAACTTAATAAAATATTAAGTACATAAATCCCGAAAGTGTTCTGCCTCGATTAAAAAAATATATTTATATTTATATGTATTTTATCATGTAATTAAAGGATACCTTTATTACAAAATGTCTGATAATAGAGAAATAAGGATAGCTTCTTTTGTCGATACAAATGATACACCATCATTTACCTTTAATGAAAGTTTTTCTCTCTTCTGTGATCGCCGCTTATTACATTGTTTGCAAAAACTTGACCTAATTATCAGACGGAAATTTAAAAAAAGTGTGGGGGGTTGAAACTTGTTTGAAAAAAAAAAATTACGTTGGATAATCTGAATGAGGGTCTGGATGGGGGTTCTTTTTTTCCTATAATTTCTATGCCATTTTTCTCTATTCTTTAAATCTTAATAACTTATTATTTTCTCTTCTCTCTTCTTTATTTGTCGGTCCATTTTTCTCCATTCTATACTTTTTTTGCCCCTATTTCTCCATTCTATAAAACCCAATCCACCCCCTCCTGAATCCTACCACAAGTGCACCGACGATATTTGACAAGGTTTACTACAATAAACATGTATATTGGGCACTCAGCAGTGAAATACCTTACAAGTATAGAATAAAAGTTACTGCAATAAACGGAGCCTCGTGTACCTTGGGCACCCAGCTGTGAAACAAAATTCATCTCCCATGCTTTTGAGACTACCTGTCTTTACAGGTAAAATATTTGTATATTAGATACAATTCACGGACGTGTAGCAAAACAATGTAACTGTAAGATTGATAAGATTAATCACATTCACATTTTCAAGAGTGGCCGCATAATAACAAACTATTAACAAATTGTTAATGATTAAAAACAAAAATTTAAATATGAATAGAGATAACTGCATTTGAAAGATAAAAACTATATTCTTTTTTTTTGTTGATTAATTCAATTTTGTTTTTAAATTATTTTTAAAAGAAAAATAATAATATCCGATACTGTTATAGTATTCTCAGTGATAGGTGATATATGTCGTCTGCTACGGTCGAATACGAAACTACGTTAAAATAACGTAGCTAACTACCGGAGACTCAGATAATCCGATAAATCTATAGTGACCAATCTCTGTGTTATAGGTTGCACTTTGTAAATACAGCTGTTTATCAAACCACGCCTCTTTTGGGGAGATATATAGTATTCATAGATATGTTAATTTGTTAATGTACTGGTTCCCATTTATGATCTCTGTGTTTCATCTGATAGAGACATCACTTGGGAATGTAACCAGTATAGAAAAACATGGTAGCGCCTAAATTTTAATTCTTAGGAGGTCCAAATATGAAGGTTAGGGTAGTATAGAATTTTAGTATAAGTTTAAACTCTTAGAAGTTCAGGGCATATAAATGTTGAAAATATGCCGCACAGCCCTATATTTTGACCTTTGAATAAAATAGTAGTGCATATAAACTTTCCGATCTGGGATATTATTTTTCACGAAACTTCATAGTAAAAGTGTCACAGTTTTAGCCGCAAAGGGAGTTCCTATTGGAAATTGCATTGTCTATATTTACAGAATTGCAACCTATATAGGGTTAAAAAATAGAACATACAGAATTTCACAAAATCTGGTTAATCTCAGAGATTTTAAAGAATTTAACTCAAATATGAAGTTTTATAAATATTT